CACGTAGTTTTGAGACTAAAATACGTAGATTTCACAAAAAGTAATCAGGATGAATGAGGATACATATTCGTTTGACATCAGTGTTCTTCCCTTTTCTTCAGTTTCTTTGTATTTTTATTAACAAACATAATAATAAAAAATGTTCATTGTGGTAAACGAAATAAAAATTGGATCTAAGTAAGAGTTTTCTCTTCCCGATTTGTAAAAAAAAATCCTTATGTGATAGAAACAAATGAATGTTATTTTCAAAATCTGTTTAGCTGAACTATGAAAAATTCATTATTAAACCCAAAACAAATTTTATGAAGTTTAATTTCACAGGTCTGTGTTATTGGTCATTTTACATGATTTTTGCCAAAAATATTTTACAGCTATGAAGGCAGACTTAACTACCATGTATGACACAGTTATGTTTTATGATATTTTAGAAATGAATGTAAGGATCTGGAATTATCCAGGTATCACATTATGAGTTTTATTTTTTAGAAAATGCAATGGGATAAGTTCATAATTCAAAAATATCTAATGAATACTTTTCCCCCTCACAGGTTTACCAGACCTGGAGTGATTGAACCATCCAGTACCACTAAAACAAAATTTATAATTACCTAGGCTCAGTATGAGCATTTCCTGGGTCATAATTTCTGTGGTTGCTAAAAATCCCCAAGTTTTAAAACTGTTCCAGGGCTTCAGTGTTAATAACACAATTCCTCCATTCTTTGATAGTTATATCAATTAAAGTTACGTTTTGTCATCACATGTCAGAGAGTAAAGTAGAATAGTACAATTGTTGAAATTTAAAAATTTATATGCAAAAACAATGCCTATTTAGACAGTTATCAGGGATGCTCAAATGTATGCCTGTTTTTTTTTTCTCAAATGTTGGTAATAATATTAAATCTCAAAGTAGTAGATTTTCCATGATATATATGTGCGTTTGTTGTCTTCAAAATTCTCAATTATTTTCTGAGAAGCTTATGAAACTTGTGTGAATTATATTTTAGCACTTACAAAAAAGAAAGAGAAGATTTCAAAAATATTACTCAAAAACTCTTAAGTCTGTTTTGATTAATTATTTTTATTTAATAATTATACTTGACACTTTGGTCCTGGAACTTATTTGGAAGAGAAGAAGAAAAAAAGTGTTGTTTTTTTATACATACCTCCCAAAATATAGTGTAAACTTGCATCAGAATTGAAAGAACATAAGTATTGGGTGGATGCCTATGTTTATTTTTTTCTGTAAACCTTAAAAAATATTTAACTGAACTACTTGTTTTGCATTTTGAGTGTGAATTTTTTCACAATTTCCGACTTCAAAAGTATAATATGAGCATATACTTTGTTTTTAGTTTATAATTCCCATAATGTAGGAAGATTTGTTTAACACAAATACAGTTTAATAAAATAAAAACTTGTATAGTGTTGTTTGGTTATAATTAGTTATTGTGCTATGTTAACATTAAAAATTCGTCTCTTAATTAGCATGTAAACTGTATTTCTAAAATTTGTGTTAATAAAAGAAAGAAAAATAATTTCCTCGGGTGACTGTTGTGAGTAAATTACTGAGATTAATACAAAATAATTTATATAAACTTCGTCACAAAAACACAACATCAAGAAGTACAGTAGAGGAATGAATGGATTTTTTATTGTAATTCCACAGTTATTGTTTTTTTCACTCAAATATTTATATCGGCAGTTATCTTTAAAATTTACCTAAATGAAATAATATTTCAACCTCTATACATTCGTCCTTGTTAAAAGGAAAACTTTTATTTAGTTTCTATGTTTCTCATTTAATATTCAAAGTTACTAATAAATTTTTCAACATCCAGGCTACAGGAAGTTCATGAAAAAAGGTATCATAATAATTATAACTTAATTAAACTGAGTAAATGAAAAAGTTGGACTCAGTACAGCTAATAATAGAAAAGCTTATAACTGTTAATATATTTTATGGTTTGCTATACGTCGGTATCTTATTCTTTGTGCTGAAAAACGAAAAAATCAGTTTTCTTTCTGAACCTTCAAAAAACGTGGTTTTCTATAAAAAATGGAAAAGTTTGCTATCATATAGAATTGAAATTTTTTTCAAGCTAGCGAATGCATATGAAGGGTATTTTCTTTAATTTTCGAATGAACGAATGTGTGTCAATATTTTCCAAATGCGAAAAAACACTATGTAAAGGCGCGTATTCATAAATGTTTGATTTTATTATTACCAAATAAATAAGTTACTTATCCATTAATAAATGTGTTCTTTTTTATTTCTGTCAACTTCTTGGCCTTCGATAATAGATCACATCTGTTGACCTGTGGGTATGTTGTATACCATCAACATTGTCGATCTTAAGACCTTTTAGTATTACTTGAATGTCGAATACATTGAAGATAAAAGTTCCACCTTTTACCATGTTTAGGAAGTAAAATATTAATAATTGCCCCTACATTTAATGAATTAGTATGTTTGCATTGTCTGTTTATGGCGTTCTTTGCAGATCTCTAGGTTGCACGCAGCAATGGTTGAATGAGTCTATACGATTTTGAAAATATTTTTGTTTTTACAACCGCTATGAGGGGTAATTTTTTTGAGCTCAACAATAATACTTGGAATGAGATATGTGTATACAATTTAAAACTGGATCGAGTTTATTACCACCTTCCCAGTTACTTTAACCAAAGCCTGCCTCCAACATTATCCTATACAACACTGTTGAATTGATAACGTTGACAGAAAGCTTTAAAACATATTTTAAATATATAATTATGGGTACTTTTTTAGCAAGTTTATTGAAAATTTTCTTCACTCGACGTATGTATATTTTATACTATTATATTCTAAGTAATACTTTTTATATTTCAGAACATTACTTGCAGCATAGTTTTGTAATATCTTGGTTGAATTTAACGAAAAGGAATTTTTTAAAATCATGTATTCACAGATACATTCTTGATACTTTTTAAAGATCTGAATTTATGAAATACGATTAACCTCAGCAGAATTTTGTTTAAAAGAAATAAACCAAGTTTTAAGGAAATACTTTATTGATGCGAATTTAATAAGCCTGATATTTGTGTATAAAAAAAGTATTTAAAATCACGTTTTTCACATTCTTCTTAATTTGTCCATTTTGGATTTCATATTAAAAGTGTAGAAAAATAGCATTTCGGATTTATCTTTACTCCAAAAATCACTGCCTGGAGCTGGTCTATGAGGAATAAAACTTTATCTGGACTGTTACTTATAATTTTATATACCCAATAAAATAATTTCAAAGTTAGGGTTTAAATGCTGAAACCTGGCAAAGTATTATAGCTGAATATCTGTGTTCAAATCTATATTGATGATACAGCACAACGAATTAAGATTAACAACTTTAAAATATTATGCAATGAGAACAACATTAATAGAATAAAAATAAAAGAAGCATCAATCATTCGTGAAATAAAACCTAATATCAAAACATAGGTGTCTCCCTATATGTTTTGTAAATTGGAAAAATGCTTGCGCAGTAATTTACAAAATAGAAACAGTTATCTAATTATGACCATACGAGTAGTCGAAACGTCGTAAAAAAGTTAAATTAAAGTAAACAATCCACTCAAAACCCGTATCTTTGGACTTTTATCCATATTAGTGATGTTTATTTACATTATCCTTAATTTATCCATTTCTGGTTTTAAGCCACAAGTACACATGCAAAAAAGCATTTCAGAACTATTTTTATTCTTCAACAAATCTCTGTGTAGTTTGGGTGATTTTTATCACAAATGGGCCTATTAGATATTAATACTTCACTAACTTTCATTATAATCTACAATAGACGTTGCCAGGTTGTAAGGATCGCGGTTTCGAATCCCCGTCCCACAAAATAGGCTCGCCCTTTCAGCCGTGGAGGCTTAATAACGTACAATCAATCCCACTATTCGTTGGTAAAATGAGTGGGTGGTAATGACTAGGTGCCTTCAGTCTAGTCTTACACTGCTAAATTAAAGATGGCTAGCGCAGATAGCCCTTGTGTAGCTTTGCGCAAAATTCAATATAATAAACGTAGGGCCCACTCAATAGCTTCGTAATAACATGCAAAAATGAGTGATCACTTTATTTTCATATTAAAATATATACATGCGACGTCTTGCCTAGTAGTTTAAATTTTAAAATGCAATGCAGTGGGAAGGTCCATGTAATAAATGATAACTCAATAATTATTATTGAATGCGTCTCTTCTCATACGGTCGACATCATATGATGCAAGAAAATTCGCGAATCTTTGCGCCTAGGGTGGTAGGCAGACTTACACAAGCCGCAAACGAAGTTGAAAAAGAAGAGCGTCCTATCTGTTACGTTGTATTTAACTATGTGTGTGTATATATATATTACTCGTGTTATTCACAGCGTATTTTAATATAATAGCAACGATAAAGTTGCAATATTTTAATACTTAGTTGAGTTATTTAAATATATATTTTTTGATAAATGGATAAAACCAAGTAACATCTCATATATATAAGTGTATCGACTATTATTCGATAGTACTTCAGGGAAGATATTTCCCAAATTACACATTTAAATCTACGACATTGTAGTATATTTACCATATTAATAATAATAATTATACTTTATAATTCAGATGTCAAAGTAGTAAGATCAATCAATATAACTGTTCAAAATGCTCATGTAGTTTTTGCTAAAAGTTCAAATATTTACGTTAAATGTACGTTTATTTGTGCATGTCATTGATTTGTTTTAAAACTACCCCTTTCTAACAAAGTTTAAATCGCGGGTATGAGAAATAGCGAAAATTAAGTCGAGTTCTGCGCTGGTAAATATACAATTCCTATATTGCTTTCTTAAATATTACTATGACAGCGAGAAAGTAAACCCTACCGACCAAAAGACAGTATCGCACAATACCAGTCAGATTTTGTTGAACTACCAAGACTATATTTGCTTCCCCACCACCAAAATGGTATTTCAAAGAAATGATGACGTATAAACCTGATCTGTTGCATGATTCGCTACTTGTGCTACAAGTTTCGCAAAGTTCACTGCTCATCCATCAGTTGTGAGTAGAGAACTATACATCAAAACCAAACAAATTACGAAGGCCAATGTTTCAATACGAACACAGGTCAAACTTCAACCAGATAAATTTACTACAGTTCCCAATTACCATTTCACCTTTCAGTGACAACTTGCGGGGTATTTATGTATTAGATACCACAATTACTTACTTTGAAACTTTTAGTTATTGTTGTAAATATCTGTGCGTTTACTAACCTGTTAGGTCTACAAGTCTAATTAGTTACTTTACTATTGAAGACTGTTTACCTAATGCTGGACAACCACCAAGTACAGTTTTTAAACAAACAACTTTATTCAGCTTTAGTTTACAACAAAATTTATATAAATTATATTGTAGCAAAGTCAAGTTGAGATTAGAATAATTTCTTCAACTTGTGTCTTGGGATGTAAAGCATACACGTAGGGAAAAAAAAAATATATATATATATATAAATTAACTATGAATATAAAAACGGCTCTGGAATGCAGTGTGCAACTTTGACCACACAAGCGTAGTGCAAAAAATGTTTCAGTGACTGCCGGTGAAATTTGTTTCGTTATCAAAAATGTTGAAAGATTTAAAATGATAGTTACTCCACTTATTCAAGTAATCTATTGAGGTCTCTTGCTCACGTCACTGTCCTGGTTTATTCCTCAAATCCTTGGTTGATATTTATATAAATGATTCACGAAATAATCTTAGAAACATTTACGGTGAACAATGCTGGGTCCAGATTCGTCGTATTCCTGTTTGGAAATCCACATCTGCTGGAAAGTTGACAGAGAAGCTAGGATGGAACCTCCAATCCAAACAGAGTACTTCCTTTCTGGGGGTGCGATAATTTTAATCTTCATTGTACTAGGAGCTAAAGCAGTGATTTCTTTCTGCATTCTGTCTGCAATCCCAGGGAACATTGTGCTACCACCTGACAGCACAGTGTTTGCATACAAATCTTTACGAATATCAACGTCACATTTCATAATTGAATTGAAAGTGGTCTCATGAATACCACAAGATTCCATTCCAAGGAAAGAAGGTTGGAACATTGCTTCTGGACAACGGAATCTTTCATTCCCAATGGTGATGACCTGGCCATCAGGGAGTTCATAAGACTTCTCCAATGAAGAGGAGTTAGCAGCTGTGCCCATTTCTTGCTCAAAGTCCAGAGCTACATAACATAGTTTTTCTTTAATGTCACGAACTATTTCACGCTCAGCTGCAAAGAGAAGGAAAAAGGGCTTAAGAAATTAAAGGCAGATTGATGTCTAGTCTGAAACGAAGGTAAGCGGTGAAACAAACTTACAAGTATCTGCAGTCCTTATAATATGTATTTTTACATTATCTATGTCATGATGACTCAAGTGTAGACATCCTTAACAGAAATTACCTTAAACTTCTTCCCCAGGAACTTATTTCTACCATACGCTTAGTTCAACTATTTTTAAGGGTATACACAAGCTTATGTCCCTGAAGAAGCTTTACATAAAATCCAGGATTATAAACAGGAATGTTCTTTGGAGTTAACAGGTAATTATTTTTTTTAAAGCATCTCTAGTCAAGACTTTGCATGGATTAAATAAATTCAATAATATATTTGAGCAGTACACTAAGAAAAACGTAATACCTGTGGTTGTGAAACTGTAACCACGTTCAGTCAAGATTTTCATTAAATAATCTGTAAGGTCACGACCAGCCAAGTCCAGCCTTAGAATAGCATGTGGCAGAGCATAACCTTCGTAAATTGGTACAGTGTGGGAAACACCGTCACCACTGTCTAACACAATACCTGTGGTACGACCAGAAGCATACAGGGACAGCACAGCTTGAATGGCTACGTACATGGCGGGAGTGTTGAAGGTTTCAAACATTATCTGAAAAGGACAGGTTTTGATTTACATGAACATACCATTTTAGGCTATGGGTTAGAATATCAATAAAAATATATTTATACTGTCTTTTTATTATTACTGCAGTATTAAAGTTGTCTGCTGCGGTGTGTAATATTATGTATACTCTTGACATTTAAACTTACAATAATTCAAACGTCAATACCTGTGTCATCTTTTCCCTGTTGGCCTTGGGGTTAAGAGGAGCTTCAGTTAACAGAACGGGATGTTCTTCTGGAGCTACACGAAGTTCATTATAGAAAGTGTGATGCCAAATTTTTTCCATATCATCCCAGTTGGTTACAATACCATGTTCTATTGGGTATTTTAATGTGAGGATACCACGCTTACTCTGGGCTTCATCTCCAACGTAACTATCTTTCTGACCCATACCAACCATCACACCCTATACAGAATTAAAATAAAAGGTAAATCTTTTCAACAGAAGAGACACATTCAAAATTTCATTATTCTTAGTTAGGAAATAACCTGTAATAGTAAAAATTGAATCAAAAATGACATGAGTTTATATCAACTTAATTAAGATTAAGACTTTAGAGCTTAATGTAACAAGAATGAAAACTTTAAGCATTGCAATACGAGATGAAAAAAGGCCTATACTCTGAAAGTAAAATTTTTTTTATATGTACGTAGTTTACAATTCCTTCTATTACGGCTATAGGTAGGCGAAGGAAATTACGTGTACATTATTAATCTAGTGGAATTTGGAAGTAAAAAAAACTATTAGCATTTTTACATTTTATCTTCTTACTGGGTTCCACAGAGAATTCGGTTATCAAATCTTAAAACTAAAACAAATTTTAATTATATTTTACCTGATGTCTTGGGCGACCAACAATAGATGGGAAGACAGCACGGGGAGCATCATCCCCTGCAAAACCAGCCTTACACATTCCAGATCCATTGTCAACTACGAGGGCAGCAACATCGTCGTCACACATTTTTGTTTTTGTTTAGTAAAGTCGGGAAAAACTGTAATTAAGAAGAAAACTGCTATTTAGATCATTTTTTTCAAAACGGCAGCAAGTCTTTAGGAGAGGGTATGTACTTCTGTAAATGCTAGTACAAAGCCATTAAAAAAAGCTACGAATCAAATATTAACTTTCTCCTTACGAACACTGTTGAAAGTTTCATACAACTAGAATTTACTTGAGTCGTGGATAAATGAAGAATTTATGTAAATACCTTACGCACGATTAGCTTTATGCATTACATATTAATCTGTAATTCCACTTACCAGTGAATGAGTGATTAATTTTTAAATGTTGTAACAACTAACTTACGTTCTTACTTGGATGTTAAAAGCATAAACCTAAAATCACAAAAATGTTACCAACAAGGTAACGTTAGGCTTAACACATGAAATTTGTCTATATTATTAACATTGATTTCAGCCAAGATTAATGTAACTATCAAACTGTTAACTATTAAATACGGTTTCAGAAGTTAGATATACAAACCTTCACTGCAGTTACTTTTATTGTGTATTATTATTCTTACTAAAGTAAAGATATTAGCGAGTTAATTCTGGGCAAGAGTTTGTTATACTAAACAATTTTATGTTGTAGCCTCTTAAACAAACATAATATTAATACTATGTAATATCCTAACGTAAATTATATTTTCCGTTTGATAAGTTTCTAGTACCACACCTAAGATTACTGTTTCTACCCACGTAAGGAATAATCCTTTAGGTTTAACGATTTTTAACAAGCATGAAAAACTTACAAGAATTTAGAGCAACTTTATCCTTCGACTGTGATATTTAACTATCTGTGCTCACTAGTATAGAACTGAAGCTTTTATTCCACATGTACTTTATTCTAAGAACGTACCGGCGAACCGGCTACATTTTACCTAATATGGTACTGTAGTACAACAACTAGTATGTTTTGTGATTGGTCACTTTTGCAGAGCGCTTCGAAATGCGTCAACAAAATTGGCTTTCCAACCATCAGCAACCAATCAAATATTGTGAAGACATTCATGCCCATATATGGAACAAACTTAAATTATCTAACGCTTGACCCGGAATTTTGACTAACGGAAATGCTCATTGTGAAAATGGGGTAGGTTACTCGAATAGCGAAACAGACGTACAGAACTAGCAGACTAAATCTTGAAATACGAATCGTAAAAACACAGTGGTTTTCTACATTTATTTGTAAGCAAAATTAACCCATATATTCTAATAATTTTAAAAAATGGTATAAATATCTCGTACATACTTGCACTCATCAGCATTAGTTATGTAAATTCCGACTAGTTTTTATTCAAGTTCAAGATTCTTCTGTTACTGAGTTTTAATCATCTAGTTGTTATGTTTGAACAGAATGGTCCATTGATTTGCTTCTCTTTGTACTTCCGCGTCTCATTTTCTAGCTATTTTAAACTCGAATGTTATGTTATATGGTCTTGTCTGTCCAAATCTCAATGATTTTTTTTCTATTATTTTATAAAATGACATCAAAAATGTTTTAGAGATATTCAAGATGTAACACATAGTTATATATTTTATATCACCAAACTTTGATTGGAACTGTAATTAAATGACCAGCGTTTCAGTAAAAATAACTTTATATTTATAGAATCATTTTACCTACCGAAGTGTAAATATATTTCTTTAGATAGAGAAAATTAAATTAGTGGGGATATTTAGATGATTTTGAGTCAGTACTTGATTTTCTTAATTTTTAGTTATTTTATGAAAATAGGTACCGAATACACTGCAGTGATAAAGTCTTCAGAATTGCTATTACAAAGCAGCTGATTAGGGTTGCTGGAATGGAAAGATTTTGTTTAATTGTTTCGTAAAAGTCATAAGATATCTTTAAGCTACTTGAATAATATTTTGTTCATTTTACTTTGTTAGCAAAAAAATATTTCTATTTTAGAATTACATTAAATTCGGGCAGTGTATTTGTCAAATAATTTGTACATCCTTCACATATTTTATTGTTGGAATGCTCATCTACAGGATAGTAATATCGTGGTATTCCAAAACAAATGCTTTCCAGAATTAGACCTCTGTTCCCCAGTGTGACTTAAAAAAGTGCATTTACCAACTGAGTTTGAGAATTAACACCCAATGGCTACTGTTTGTAAGGAATTTTGTATATATTTAAATTACGTGGAACCATATTCCTACCCTCTCAAGCTTCGTAAAAGAATGTTTATTCTGGAGCTCAACTATATCAAAGTTGTTTTAGTGGGTCGCGTGGGTGGTAATTTCTTTGTGGTGTCTCTACAACAGGTAACTCCCAGAATCTGATCCTATGTCCACCAGGGTGACAGGAGAAGAGCGCTAATAGTAATAGCAACTATTAAAAGGTTAACGTACGTACTAGCTACTTCTGGTAAGATGCCTTTCAACAAATAAAAACTAGGCCATACGTTATAAAATTGGGTCATTTTAAAAGATATTTATAAAAAGAAAAGTAACGATAGTACGTAAGAGATGGCTTAGCGATTCATGACATATCAGTACTGATATGTTCATCTGGATTAATTATAAATTATTTTCTGATATATGTAACAACAAGAAAAGTATACAAAACGTATCTATCTCTTTAAAATAGACTCTAAATATTGAGGATAATAATATTATCCACAACTAAAGTAAGTGTCAACATTTTACTTTAAAGAAAGCAAAATAACATGCCTTTGTATGAAACGCCTCCCCCCCCCCAACTGGCACAGCGGTATGTGTGCGGACTTACAACGCTAAAAACCGCGTTCGATACCCGTGGTGGGCAGAGCACAGATAGCCCATTGTGTAGCTTTATGCTTGACTACAAATAAACAGAAGAGTAAAATATTTTGAACTTTGATATATTACAATCACTATTCATGTATTTCACATCAAACTTCGTCTTTTTTAAAGTAGATAGATTAAAATATAGACTTATGTTCATACTTTGATGTTTATTAGCAAATACAGGTTTATAAATCATAAAATAGTGTTGTAAAAAGTAATGATCACTCATAATATCACGAATTATTGCAAGGGGGGGGGTACGCACCGTAGTACTTAATGAAATATCTAACACTGTACTTAATACGAATTCCATTTTTAAGTGATTTACTAGAGGGAAGGTAGCTAGTCAATTTCACCCACCGTTAACTCTTGGGTTACTCTTTTATCAACGAATATTGGGAATAATAGTCATATTAACCCCCCACCCCACCCCCCGGCTGAGAGGGCGAGCATGTTCGGCAACGCGATTCGAATCCGCAACCCATGGGTTGCTAGTCGAGTGCCCTAACCATCAGGTTATGGCAAGTTAGATGTTTGCAAGCTATAGTGTTGACAGTTTGGGCACATTTTAAAACGACCCGCGACCTCCACACATACACACACTCTGTAGTGCTGGCTGGGCCACCGTAATTGAACTGTACTAGAGGGACACTCAATATAGGGCATATCTCCGCCACGCAGCAGTGATCATATTCGGCCCTCATAAAATACGGAAATGTGTCCGTATGTTCGTCGGTATCAACGGAAACGGGTCATTTTCTGCAGGACAATGAAGAATAGTATTCTACATATGTCCAACAAGTTTCATTAAAATCCTATCGTTTTTGACTGAGTTATAGAGCAAAAATATTGTGAAAAATCGGTCCCCATGTTAACAGAAAAGGATTTTTGGATTTTCGTGACCGTGCTGTGACCTTGAACTTTAACCTTGACCCTCCAGAAACTAATCACTTTTAAGTTGGGTAATATTCCAAATATATATGTACCAACTTTCATTTAAATCCATTCAGCCGTTTTCGAGAAATTCTGCTGACAAACACACACACAGGGGTGATAACAACCTCCGTCACATTCGGTGGCGGAGATAATTAGGGATGGTTAGTGCAGATAGCCTTCGAATAGCTTTGCATCAAATTCAACAACAAACAAAGTAAACGTCTTCTGTGACTTTTAAAAATTAAGAATAATATATATATATATCATGATAAATGAACAATATTAAGAAAAGTACTGTTATAATCGTATTTGATATTTATCTATATATTGTTAGAGATAATTTTATAATTTTCCCTAAAATATACATGAAAACTTTAATCCTTTACTTAATGTCTCCATACCTTGTTTTTTATATACATATAAATGGGATTAAAACAATAAATGTTACAAGTTGATTCTGTAACAATGCACATTTTTTATTTTCTAAACAAATTATATCACGGATATTCTTTGAGGTTCATGAGCGATAACAGCAACAAAATAAATAGGTACAAGTTTATTTTACATTAACAGTTTGTGTTTATGTGTGTGTATAGGTGAAGAATAACTATTGAATCAGTGAGTTTGTTAACCATTTAGTCAATTAATTCAGTGTCGTGAATATCGTCTTTGTGTTTAGACGAAGAAATAGATATTTGTGAAAATCCCATACGAACGAGAGTTTGTTTGTTTGTAATTAAGCAAATACGAGCGTTGTAAGTCCGGAGACATACCGCTGGACCACTGGGGGGCACGGACGAGAGACAATAAAAAGTAAGAGAATTTTTTGATCGGCGTTTACTTTGAACTTATGCCTATCAGTAAATATTAGTTTCTTACAAGTTGAAGAACTTACAGTCAAAGAAATAAGACACTTTTGTTATTATTCATTAAGTGGACTTGACTTTGAAATTTGTTAATGAATAAATCAACAGTAGAAATCGTTTTAGTCGGTTTCACGTACACTTTGGGGAATTGAACCCTAATATTTCAGCATTGGAACTCCGTCAAGTTACTGCTAATCTACCGATGACGTACTTGATATTTAAGTAGACACTTGAAAATTCAAATATTTTTACGAAATAATCATAAGACACAGAAAGAAGACGCAATTTTAATATAATTAGAAATAGGTTATTTGGTCTCTTGTTTGATTTTCACCATCTTCAATTTCTCAGGAAACGTACATGACTTCACTGGTGTCTTATTCACAGCGACTTACAATGTTAGTTAATATCAGTAATTCTAAACCAGTCGAAATTGTGCAGCAACTCTGTGCTCTCGTTGCATTTTCTTTTGTTTCTGATTAGTTTGTTCTGTTCCATAGTAACATACATATAAAATTGGTCAATGTACGTGTTTAAGAACTTTATATATGGTTAAGTAGCTCTTGCCAATAAATCACTTGGTTGACTAGATGACTAGTCGAGCAGAAAGATTCATTTTCGCAAGATTTTTCTGTATGATTGTGTTCTGTGAGATTGCAAATATTGGCTCACTGCCCACCAGTTACAAAATATCAAATCTTGAAATCAAGGTAAAAAAACAAAAAACTTTACAGTTTGTGTATATTATAATTTTCTTAAAAATCAAAAATACATTTCCAGTTATAAATTGCCTAAATATAATATCTTCTTCTTTAGAACTTATGTTGTAGATTTTATAAACCTTATAGTAAAAAAATATTGTTATTGAATTTTGTGTAGGAATATCTTAACATTGAGGTCATATAACCTCAATTATTTATTTCATTATGTAAAATATCATCTCATGCTCGTTTTTAAGATTCACCAGAACGCTGTTCTTTCGTTGGCGGGTTCTTTTAAATCATTTGTTGAAAATAATTCGAGGTCCAGGCTACGTAACAATAACGAATTAGTATATTTCTTCCTTAACGTTTCTACAAGCTACCTTCACTTGTTGTAAACTGTTGTATCTTATAGACTTAAGATTAGAAATAACTTCCAAACGGAAATACTTCGCTAATTGTTCTATGACGAACGTAAAAATAAATTTACTGGTACAATTT